ACAAGATGACCCACACTTGCGACACACGCACACACACACACACACGTCGTGTACACTATCAAACCGGCCGCGCCCCAGCTGCGGCCGGCATGCACTCTGGCCCACCTCTGACTGGCCCCTGCAGCCATCCATAGCCCACCCCATGGTTTGTCTGCAAGCTCAAGAGCCGCCCTAACTCATTCCTCCAGAATGAGTTCGAGGCTGTGGCGGGCGGGCCCGCTGGAGCAGTGGGGCAGCAAGTGCCGCCCCCACCCACCATTGACCGACTGCAACCCAATCCACACGCGCGCCCCCCACGCTCTCTTTTCCTTTGACGCAACGCCAGCCCATCAGCCAATGCGTGCACCCCTTTTGTCAGCCTGCACCCCGCCCCCCCGTCACACACAGACTGACCGACTTTTCTCGTCCCCATTGTTTCCTTTCCTTCTTCCTGTGCCAGTGCTCCCCACCCCCGCATGCATGCCCACAATACCCCTCCATTCTCCCATACTCTCCAGTTTTGCACCCGCTCGCATTTTATGCATGTAACACGACAGCACGCCTCGGGGTCGCGGCGACGGGGAGGCACACCGTCGCGCAGCCCGGGAAAGAATGTGCGCGCGGCAGCGCGGGTGTCATCATTTGCTCAGGGCATCATCAGTGGCTGGTACCTGCACGGCCACAGAGTGCAGCAGGAAGATGAGGGCGAGGCAGCATGGGAGGAGGGAGCGTGCGCTGAAATAGCTGGCAGGCAGGCAATCCCCCTCTGCAGCACCGCTCACTTGGGCTGCTTCCTAACCAGGATGCAATACGTCAGCCAGTAATACGTCAGCATGATCCTGCAGGGGAGGGAGGGGCCCGCAGAGGAGGCAGAAACGTTCATCTGCCGCAGAGGCGGAGCGGCCGGGGCAGCCTGCTGCGGTGGGTGTCACAGCGGAGCGTGCAGGAGCGCGGGTGGCTGCGTGGTGGATGGCGAGCCGCCGGCCTGCATGCCGGCCTGCATGCATGCTTCCGCCCGCCCGCCACCTCCCTGCCCCTCACACCCCACCTGCCCTGGCTGGCCAGCGTGCGGCGCAGGCTGCTGTCCCCAAACGACAGCCGCTCCAGCACCTCGTCCCCCGTGGCCGTCCCATGGCCCCGCTCATCCAGCTCAAACTCCGCGCCTGCTTGGCGTGGTGGTGGAGGGTGGTGGGGCGGGTGGGGGGTGGGGGGCAACCAGTGGTGGGCAGGTGTGCCAGGGGCAGGCAGGCAGGCAGGCAGGCAGGCAGGTGGAGGTGGGCACCAGGCCAGCCCAGACTCACCCCTGAACTCGTTCACGCATGATCCCTCGAACGCCTGCTTGATGAGCGAGGCGGAGGGCAGCCACTTGAGCGGGCCCGGCACGTTGCTCTCGTTCACAAACAGGCCCCCAAACACGATGCTGACGAGGATGACGGCGGGACCGATGGCCAGCGCCGCCTCGGTGGACGGCGCCGCGGCGCCCACGGCCAGCCCCAGCGCCTGCGGCGGGGGAGCGGGGCGGGTGGAGCACGCTCGGCAGGTGCGTGCTCACCACGCACGTTGCTGGGAGTCGGCCGCTGTCGGGCCCCCCGCCCCACACCGCCCGCGCAGCCCGCTGCCGGCCCTGCCAGCCCTTGCGCCCGCCAGCGCGGAGGCAGCCACCCTGGCAGAGCCGCTTGCAGAGCCGCTGCCACGCCGGCTGCTGGCCCCACCTGCGCCGACATCGCCTCCAGGGTCAGCACCGCCAGGAAGGAGGCAAAGCGGTTGGGCCTGGGGTTGAGGCCGGTGGCGGGGTAGACCAGGCAGGCAAAGAGGGCGGGGAAGAGGGCGCCCACGGGCAGCTCCGCGGCCAGCTTGCTGAGCAGGTAGGGCAGCACGCCGTAGCTGCGCAGCGCAGGGGGAGGGAGGACAGAGGCCGGCTGTCGGCAGGGGGCTGTGATGTCGGTAGGAGGCAAGCTGCTGGCGAGAGTGCACGGCCGGATGCCACCACAGGCGCTGGCCGGGCGCCGCCCCTGCTCACCCGGCGCGCGCCCGCTCCCGCCCAACCAGCGTCTTCTCCCTGCATCAGCGGCGAGGCGGGGGCAAGGGAGGGCAGGAAGGGGCGGGGTGAGGCTGCAGGCGGGCACAGATCAGGCACCCCGCTGCCGGCTCGCTTTCCTGCTCTGCGATCCCCCCACTCCTGGGCCCCACCCCGCGCCTGCCGGCGCCCGCCGCGCACCGTGGGAAGACGTTGAGCGTCTTGATGAGGCTGCTCATGGCGGTGCCCACCGCCGACACCTGGAGCAGGCCCATGCGGTCCTGGATGCTGCTCTGGCTGCGCCTCATGCGCCAGTAGATGGCGGCAAAGACGAGGGCGGAGGAGGCCTGGCTGGAGGCGCGCCCAATGTTGGTGGCACGGTCGCGCAGCACCTGACGCAGGCTGCGCCTGAACAGCAGGGACACCTGCGTGCGCAGGCCGCAGGCGGGGCTGGCGGGGGCCGCCACCACGGCGCCGGCAGCGGCGGCGGCCGCAGCGCCATCGCCGCCGCCGCCGCCGCCCTCGCCCGCCTCAGCGTCCACCTTGCGCCACGCGGCGGCCAGCTGCTGCAGGCGCTCGCGGCTGGCTGCCTCCGCCTCTGTGCTGGAGTGGTCTACGGCAACCAGGTCGGCCAGCCACTCTGCATGCAGGCGGCGAGGGCAGGGCAGGGCAGGCGGAGTGTGTGTGAGGTGTGAGCTGGCGGGGGGAGGCGGCGCAGGGCTGCACAGGCTGGCAGCCCGCAGGCGGCCAGGCTGTCCAGTGTGGGTTGTTGCCGAGGGGCGGCCGCGGCAGCCCCGCAGCACCAGGGCGCACCCGCGGGGTTGAAGTGCTCCGGGCAGGTGTGGCCCTGCTCCGCAAAGTAGGGCAGCACGCTGGCGGCGGGGCCGCTGTACACCAGCTCGCCCTCTGCGCCCAGGCAGGCAGCAGCAGGAGCAGGGGGGTGGCGTCTCAGCAGGCGGTGGGCCGCGCTCCCCGGCGGCCGCGGCCCGCCCGGCACCCGCGCCGCCGCCCTTCCCGTGCCGCCGCACCGCGGCTCCCACGCCCTCGCCTCGCCACGCCACCACTCCACACACACACACGCACACACACACTTGCGCACGCGCTCGTGCACACCCGCGCGTGCACAGCCTTGCCTGCCATGAGGATGAGCTCGTCAAACATGGCAAACACGCTGCTGCGGGGCTGGTGGATGGACACCAGCACGGTGTGACCGTCGCTGCACAGGTCCTTCAGGGTGCTCATCACCTGAGCACACGCGGGGGGAGCGGGCTGGGCAGCGGGCAGATGCCCAGGGCTGGGCAGCAAGGGAGGACGGCGGGCGGGGGACCCAGCGCGGGCGCCCCCCCGCGCCCTCGCCCTCTGCCCGCCAGCGGCATCCCATCTCCCCTCGTCAGCCGCGCCGGGCGGGCCTCGCCTGCTGGGCTCCAAAGGCATCCAAGCCGCTGGTGGGCTCATCCAAACAGACCATCATGGGGCGGCTGATGAGCTCCACAGCGATGCTCAGCCGCTTCTTCTCACCGCCGCTCAACCCGCGCGTTTTGGCGTCCCCCACCGGCGTGTTGGCGGCCTGCCGGGGAGCAGCAGACAGGCAGCGGGGGCGGCGGGCGCAGCGGTGGGGCAGGGGGCAGGCACAGGCGCCGGGCTGTGGGAGGGGACCCCCCCACACACACCAGGCGAGGCCCCCCGCTGTGCCGCCGGCAGGGCCCCACCTTGGCCAGCCCCAGGCGGGCGATGACTGCATCCACATACGCCTCCCTCTCCTCGCCGCTCGTGTCGCGGCTCATGCGCAGCTCCGCCGCCATCAGCAGCGTCTCCCTCACCGTCAGCTGCGCGCCAGGCGGGCGGCGGGCAGGCGAGGCCGGGTGGGCAGCACGGCCGGCACTGCTGCCCACTAGGCGAGCGCCACAGCATCACGGCCGGCGGGCCTGCAGCCCCGCCCCTGCGCCCCGCCCCGCAGCTGCCGCCGCCTTGCTGGCCCCGCAGCCCACCCCATCCCTGCCGCCACCCAGCGCCTGCCTGCGGGTAGAACAGGTCGTCCTGCTGCACAAAGCCCACACGCAGGCGGGAGGCGTGCAGCGGCACGCCGTTGGCGGTGACGTGCCCCTGCAGCCGGATGCTGCTGCTGTACGGCATCTGCCCGGCCAGCGCCCCCAGCAGCGTGGTCTTGCCGGAGCCGGAGGGCCCCATGATGGCGGTGAGGCGCCCCGGCGCCGCGCTGCCAGACACGCCGTGCAGCAGCAGGCGCTCCGCCCTGCGATGCAGATGGCCGACAGAGCACAGCGCAGCGGCGCTCGGCACGGCGTCAAAACACCGCTGGCGGCGTCCCCGACAGCCCCGGCCCCACCCCGCCCCGGCGCCGCCCGCACCCACCCCGTCTTTTTGTCCTTGAGCACGCATGTCACGTCTCGCCACTCCAGCAGGACCTCGTTGCTGGCGCCAGCCCCGAGCACGCCGGCGCTGCTGGCCGCCCGCCGCAGCTTGCGCCGTCGCCTCAGGCCCTGCAGACCCTGCAGGAGGGCACACCCAATCCATGCTCAGTCATGCCGGTGCGTTCGCAGGCCAGGCGCATGCACGCCGGCGACGGCGGGGCGGCGACGGCGGCCCCGCCTGACGGCAGCCCACCTTGACGGCCGCTGTTGCAAGCGCCAGGGGGACCTGGTGCTGCGGTGGCAGCACAATGACCGCCACTCCAAGCACAAAATCCATGACGCAACAAAATTGGTGTCGATGAGGACCGTGATCGGTGGTCCTGAGCAGTCCCCAGGAGTCCTAATTGAGTTGCGATTGCGGCATGGGAATGCGTGTGGGGCAGGACAGTGTGGCGTAGTGCTGTGCCTCAGGCGCGCCATCTGGCACATCCCCCTTGCCGGTCCTCCATGCATGCTGGTTGCATCATCACACGCGCACCTGCTCCTTCCCCCGCCCGCTCCTCCACTTGCCTCGCTGCTGCTGCTCAGCAGTGGCACCTGCAGGGCCCTAGGACGGCGCCATATGCAGCAGAGCAGCCGTAAGCGCCTGTGCAGCAGCGTGGTGCACGAGCAGGAGAACGAGAGGGGGTGCAAGCCGGCCACCGACCTGTGCAAGGACAGCGAAGCCTTTCTCGTGGCACACGGGCTGCAGGCGTTGCTCCACCCGTGTCTGCTGCCGGCATCCTTCTGGTGAGCCCAACTTGGCCCGGCAACAAAGATGATTGGCATCCCCATCACATGGTGGCAGCTCAGTTCTGCTCGGAGCATGTGGGCGCTGGCCTGCGCACAAGCGCAGGAGTGGAGAGTTGGGATGCAGCAACCCGGTATTACCGTAACTGCACCCCCCCCCGGTCCTTGCAGGTGGGCCACGGCAGAGCTGAACGTCACGCTCCGCGGCTTCCAGTTCCTGTCCCACGAGCAGACGCTGCTGGAGTCGCACGACTTTGCGCGGTGTCGCAAGGAACTGGCATTTGACAAGGTGGGCGGGGCTCGCACGATCAGGCTCCCACGACCGCACAAAGGGTCTAGCTGCCATCCTGCCAGGGTGCGCACCGGCACTGCCCGCCACCTGCTCGCCCACCCCTGGCCCTCAACCACCCCCTGCAGCTGGCCTTTGCTCGTGGCTGCACCGATGTGTGGGGCCTGCAGCAGCAGCCACACCTCCTGGCTGTGCGTTTGGTGCTGGATACTGCGCTGAAGAGCTGCACCGAGGCCTCCATTTCTCAAGTGACGCTGCGCTTGCCGCCCTTCCTGGCGGGGTGGGCGGAACGGTGGCTGGGCTGCAGCGGCGGCAGTGGCGCGCCTCCGCGCCTTTGTGTTACCATCATCCAGGGGTATCGCGAGGCTCCTGTGCTGCGTGCCACGACAGTGTACAATCTAGGCCTCCCAACGATCACCAGCTCACCTCCCCACACCACCATTTACCTGCCGCACTTTTGACTTGAGAGCCGGCGCGCGCCGCACATTTCGCCGCATCTGTGCCCGCCGCCCCCCCTCCACTGCCTGTTTTTTTGCTGAGAAAGGCTGCTTGCGAGCTGCCCTGGATTCTGAGAAACACAACATGGACGCCCCCGGCATTTTCCTCCATGCATTTGTTCCTGCCACAGTTATTGTGCTACCACCTGTGCGACTTGCAACGCTGCCCGAGCTTGTGATCTTATATCTTGCTGTATACATCCCCTGGATCCCTGGCCCTCCTATTCAAGGCCACTTTTTTGCTCCAACGCCTCCACCATGCATCCGCAATTCAGATGTTTCATGCTGCAAACAACGCGTACCCGCTGTGACGCTCCAAGGTTACAAGGCCTGTTGCCTGTCACAGTCAGATTGACGCAGTGAGTTTATCGGTTGGCAACCAATGCAAGCCTGGTGCCATGATGCAGCGTCCGCGACCAGGCAGGGCTACCGCCGCCGCGAGCTGGGCTTCCGCGAGGTGGGAGCGGAGCGCTGCTGCTGCGCATCCCCAAAGTTAAGCGGCGTGCCAAAGGCGCCGCCAGGCGAGGGCTGCAACGTTCCAAACAGCCCACCCGGGGAAGCGGCGTGGGACGCAGGGGCAGGCGACATGCCAAATGTGGTGGTGGTATATCCTGCACCAGCAGCAGCAGCAAGCAGGGATGGGGCTGACAGCGGTCGGCCAGGAGCGCTTGACAAGCCAGGGGCAGGGCACACCAGCCATGCACCATACCGCACCGTGTAAAGCTCAGTGCAGCCCGACCCACGCCTCACCCGTGCCTGGTGGCTGCTGCGCCGCATGCGGCTGCTGCGCGGCCTGCAGTGCAGCCGCCTGTGCGGCGGGGCTGCGCGGCTGGTGCGCGCTGCGCTTGTGCTGCCGCCGCTCCTCCTCAGCAAACGGGTCGCTGCTGTCGCCCGCAGCCCGCCGGCGGGCCAGGAAGGCCTCGCGGGCCGCCGCCACACGATCATCCAGCGCCTGCGGTGGGGCGGGTGCAGTGTGTGGCGCAGGGTTGGAAGCGGGCACCACGCCTGCCTGCCTGGCCTAGCTTCGCCTGCTTGCCCAAACCAGCAGCACCCATACTCCCATGCCCGCTGGACTCCCAATGCCCCACCCGCTTCGCCCCCCCCACCTGCAGGCGGGCCGCTGTGTGGATGAGGAAGTCGTGAACGTTGGTCAGTGCCGCCTGCAGTGCCGCCAGCCCGTCGGCGGGGTGGCTGCCATTGCCGCCGCTGGCGCGCCGCAGCATCTGGCCTGCGCAACACATCAAGCGGGGGCACAACGGCGCCTTTGAGCCTGCATGCGTGCGGCGCTGGCTGCGCCTCGGCCCTGTCTGCACTCGGGGCTGCGGCGAGGTGGGACACGGCACTCTAAGCCTCCCAACCCACCCGTAGCGCCGCTGGCCAGCAGCACTTGCTCCAGCTCCGCCACTGCGGCCTGGTGCTGCTTCAGGCGGTCTAGGAACATGGCAACTGCCTCCCGTAAAAACTGGGCGGGCAGCACTGGCGGCCCCGCAATGTCCTGGGAGGCCAGCGGTGCCGAGGCCTGCAGCGCAGCGGCAGCAGGCACGCTCGGGGCAGGGCCAAGGAGCGTCCTGCACTCCCCCACCTTGACCGCTCACGTCACATGCATCCAAGCTGCCCCGCAGAGCCTGCTGCATGCCGAAGCCAGAGCCAACCCAATGGGACCAGGCACACTGCCATGCGCACCTTTGAAGCCTCGCGCCATGCATGGGCGCGCTTGAACGTGTGCAGCGCGGTGTCTGTGGATCGCACCAGATACAGCACCGCCTCGCGCAGCGCCCCCACCTGCTCCACATCCGCCTTGACCGCGCTGCCCAGCGCCGAGATGGCCTGGCTGAGCGACCTGGCCTGCGCCTGCGGGCAGGCAGGCAGCGGCAGGCAAGCCGCGGCCGGCTGGTCTCGGCGCAGCATGCACAGGTTGCCAACTGGCTGGTTCACAGTGCCCAGGCTAGGAGCAAGCAGGCACCGCGCCCCATGCGCACCTGCATCGCCTCCTGCTGCTCCTTGGCACCACTGCCGCTGGCCAGGCGTGGGTCGTTGTCCAGCTGGCGGCAGTCTTCACGGTACTGCACAACAACCTTCCTGCAGCCGGGGCAGGCACATGGGGGCAAGCAGCAGCGGCACAGTACCGATGAGCATAAGGGTGCGTGGCAGGGCTCATCACACCAACCTGACGTGAGGTGCGCACGATGCATCGAAGGCTGCCCGCACCACCCAGCTGGCCCTGCTCTCCCCAGCCACTCACTCCAGCTCCGTCAGGTACTGCTGCGTCTGGGGGCTGAGGTCGTCCCACTTGCTGCTGTGGGTGATGGGGCGGTTGTCCTTGGTGGTAAGAGCGGTGACCTGCTGGGAGGGCGCGCCCACCGTAGGCGCCGCGGCGCCAAACAGCGAGGGCGACGCGCCTGCTGCGCTGCTCTGGAATCCAAAGGCGGAGGTGGGGCCTCCGCCAAACAGGCTGGGGGCGGGGGTGGCGCCAAACAGGCTGGCGGATGAGGCGCCAAATGCGGGTGTCGCCACGCCGCCCCCAAAGGGTGATGGCGCCGCCCCAAAGGCGGGAGCCGCCTGGCCAAAGGCCGGGGCAGCGGCGCTGCTGGCGGCGCCAAAGGCAGGGGTAGATGCTGCGCCGAAGGAGAACATGGCCTCCTGCTCCTATCTACTCCTGTGGCGGGGACGGTGATCGACTTGAGTAGTTGATGACAGTCTCAAGCGCGCGTCTCGGCGATGGCCGCTGCCTTGTGCGTCATGTAGTTGCAGAGGAGTGGAGCTTCCAGCTGCGGCTGCGGCCTGAGGGCTGAGCTACGCCAAAACAAGTGCTGACCTTGGTTGATTACGAGCAATTCATGAGTGATAAACACATAGGTTGGATGGGATTGCACGCCATGTGCGATCCATATTCGTGGGAGGCTGTACTTCAGTACGGCGGCGGCGGCAGCGGCGGCAGCTCTGCGGCGGACCACGTTGGGCGATTGCCGGGACTGTGTTTACAGATGGGTCATGAGCACTCGCAAAGGCAGGAAAACTTGCATGAGATTGGTAAAACCCTTGCTTCACTCGTAAATCCATGCCTGCAAGGTGGGGTGAACGGAGAGGCTGTGATGAACAGTGCGCTGCTACATCCACCTGCAAAACAATCTTGCCTTGGTGACGGGTGTATAGTCGGCCAACTCGTCAGCTTTGAACCAAAGAGCAATCTCACGCATGGCGCTCTCCACGGAGTCACTGCCGTGAATTACGTTGCGTCCCACCTAAAAAAAGAAGAAGAAAAAAAGAAAGAAAAATATGTTTTAATAGTGTGTTTTTAACTACTTCTCTTATCTTCAGTATATAAGAAAGATAGATCTATGTATATTAGATAGATATTAAAGAACAAGAAAGAAGTTTGTTTTACTTGTTTTTTTTTGTTCTTTTACTCACGTCAATGCCGTAGTCACCGCTGCAACAGACGACAGAGTGGTCGTTGTGAGCTGTGTTGGGGCGCTTCAAGCTGCTACAGTTGGCGCCGACAAAGCGTCACAGCAAAGCAACAGGGCCAGCCTGGCGCTCACCGCAGCGTGCCCGGCGAGGAGGCTAGCGGGTTTGTGGCGCCCACCATGGTACGCCCCGTCCTCACGATATCCTTGCCTTCAAACACCATGGCCTGAGTTAGTGGGGAAGCAGGACCCGGCGGGGCGGAGGGCGGCGTGTGTGAGGGGCGCGCCAGTAGGTAGGCAGCACAGTAAGAGTCACACACCAGGCTCGTCGGCCAATGGAAAAACAAAACATGGTGATTCCGGCAACCCACCACGACTGCGCCCGACGACAGAAAGTCAACCAACTTGGGGAAGAACGGCTTCCCATCATGTTCAGCATAGTGCTTTGCTGCGAGCTCCCGGCTCGGCACCAGCACCTGCAGCCACCAGCAGACCGTGGGAATGTCCTCGCAATGTTTCCAGCTCCCCGAAGCGGTTCGGCCGCACCCACCTTGATGCCGACCAGCTTGTAGCCGCGCTGCTCGAATCTCTTTATCACATCCCCCACCTGGATTGTGGCAGGAGCAGGCAACACTCATGCATCAATCAGCCAGCGAGCGGTTCGTGGAGCAGAGAAAAATCCACTGCCGACCATCCCACCAACCCACCAGCCCGCGGTGAACGCCATCCGGTTTTATCATGATGAAGCTGCGCTCAGCGTTGGAGGAGCCCGCCGCAAACGACACGGTGGTGCCCACTGCACACAAGGAGCCGCAGAGGGTGTGTGGGAGTGTAGACACCACAACGCAACCATGCGCATGCACGGCAGCGCAACAAACTTGAGAGAGCCACGCCCGCAAGGCCCGCAGCCGACACGGCCTTGCTCCCGCCATTCATCAGGGCGGCAAAGCTAGCGTAGCTGGGCACCCGTCCTGCCGCGGTCGCAGCAGCAGCGGCTGCAGGGCACAACAAAACAGTATGGGTGTAGGGAGGCCACGACCGGCAGCTCTGCCGCGTCGCCGCCCGGGCGGCACCCAGCAGGGTTCTCTAGCAAGGTCCCTGGGAATGCCCATCCTGGCGTCATCGTGCCATGCAAATACATCCAAGCTTGCAGGGTGCTCCACAAGACCACAAGACCACCACATGCTCACCGGCGAAGGAGGCGCGACGGCCCAGCGCGCGAGCAGCCTGGCGGAGCATGCTGGAAGTTCCGAATGAGGGACAGGCCTGGGCTTCTCCCTTCTCCCTACATGTGCTGGGCACCTTCTTCTTGGCCAACCGTGGACCAGGACTGGACTGCCCTTGCGGTTGATCGTCGAGCACGGTGTCGGATACACGATACTGCATTGCAATTTAGCTGCGACGGTTGGCGTCCAGCGTGCACTGGCCTCGGCCGGCTGTCGGACATGCAGTCAAAAAAGAAGACGCTGGCTGCCAAGCAAGGACTCTCCGCTGGCAAGGGCTCACCGGCTGGGCGCAAGAAAACAAAGGCCACCGCAGCTATCAAGCCGTGAGTGCGCCTGCCGCCGCCGCCACGTCCCTCCCGCAACCGCCACACGCCTGTGCCTCCACTTCAATCAACGCTTTTCGATTGTCCACGCCTGCCTGCCTGCCTGCCTGCATTGTGCAGTGGCACCGGTTTGGGCATTGCCGCCGAAGCAGCCGCTGCGGCAGCAGAGGAGGAGCGGAAGCGGCTGCGGGCGGAGCTGGAGATGGCACGGGCAGCAATGAAGGCGCACGAGGGCGCGGCGCTCGGGCTGCAGGCGGAGCTGGCAGCGCTGCGCCTGCATCACGCGGAGGATGCATCTACCGCGGGCGATGTGCTGCAGAGCCAGCAGAGGGAGAGGGACCGGATGGAGGAGGCGACGAGGGCGCTGGAGCGCCGGCTGGAGGCGGAGAGCCAGGAGGTGGTGCTGCTGCGCAGCGACCTGCAGGCGGCGCTCGAGAAGAAGGCAGCCGCGGGGGAGCAGACGGAGCGGCAGCCAGGGCAGGGCGGCAGCATGCAGCCCAGCAGTGAGGTGCAGCGCCTGCTGTCCCAATCGCGTCGCCAGGAGGAGCGCATGGCGGCGCAGCAGGCTGAGGTGCTGGATGTCCGCCAGCGGCTGCAGCGCGCAGAGCAGGCGTTGGAGGTGGAGCGCAGCAGGGCGGCATCCCTGCAGGTGCGGGCGCAGAGCCGCACCGAGCTGCGTTTCGTCCGAGACGGCCCCTGGCTGATACATGTGAGGCCGGAGCGGCTGACGGGGCTGGCGCCTGCCGCCCCTTTGCTACCAGGCGGCACCTTGGCGGTGGCGGGACGGCAGATGTTGCTGGAGGCATGGCAGCCAGCTGCACGGGGGGGGGCAGAGCAGCAGCCTGGGCATGGCCACGAGCAGGGACAAGGGCACCAGCAGGCAGTGCAGCACATGCTGGACCTGAGCGCCGCGCGCTGGGGTGCGGTTGGAGGCGGCGCCAGCGCCCACCAGCCGGCTGCAAGTGCAGAAGGCATGCATGAGCCAGTGAGCGGGCGGGCCGTGTGCAGCATCGGGGAAAAGCTGCTGGGCTTTGGCGGCACCCGCAATGGAAAGTTCGTGGGCGGCAGCACCGAGTTCTTCCATCCCAACCTGCGGCAGTGGCTGCCGGCACCACCCCCCGCCGACCCCGCCGTGCAGCAGCCGCCCCCCCGCCACAGCGCTGCGCTGGCATACTGTCCTAATGCGCATGCGGCCTTCTTATATGGGGGCCAGGGCGAGGGTGGCACTTTGCTGGGTGACCTGTGGCGGCTGGACTGCACTAGCATGGCATGGAAGCAGCTGGACAGCCATAAGCAGCCTACAGCTGTGGGCGAGCGAGCCCGCACCCCATGCCCACAGGAGGCGCCTCCATCCAGCACAGGGGCAGCCCTTGCGGTGTCCACCGACGGCAGCCGGCTCTGGCTCATGGGTGGCCGCCTGGACAGCGGGCGCTGCAGCAATGCACTGCACTGGTGACCGGCCGGGCCGCAGTGGGCGTTTCTGGGCAGCGGGGCGGCAGATGTGCTCATGCACGCCCGCCTGCCCCTACCTGTTGCGAGCTGGGTCCATTGCACGCGCAGGTTCGATCTCGGACTGCTCCACTGGACGCGAGTGGATGCCGCCCAGCCCGGGGCCATCGAACCCCGTGCACAGTGAGCTTGCTGCCCCATGCGGTAGTTGTGCTGGCCGGTGGGCAACGACTGCCTGGCTGCTGGTGGGGTCCCGTGCCTATGCCCCTGCTTGCCTGTCATGTGCCTCGCAGCCATGTCATGGCATGCATAGGCCGTTACCTGGTTGTGGTTGGCGGCATCACCTACACGGCTGATGGGCGCATGTCATACCTCCAAAACTGCGCTGTGTATGACCCAGCCGATAGCACATGGGGCTTGATTGATGGCGCAGCCTTCCAGGCGGCCGCAGGGGGCAGGGGGCAGCCCACAGCCCAGGTGTCAATGGCGGCAGGCATCATCCCTGCAAGCACTGGGAGCGCCACTTCCAACAAGCCCAGCAAGCAAAGTCCAATGGCCTTCCTTGGGGCAGGCAGCTGCGTGATTGTGTGCAACAAGCTGCTGGTGCTCAAGACTTCGGTAGACAGCGGGCCCCTGCTGCGGGAGCTGTGGTCTGTCGAGCTGGAGCTGCCGGATGAAATCGAGCAGCTGCGGCAGTCCAGGCGCCGAGCGACCATGGTGGTCAAGCAGCTCACGCTGGCTGCAGAGGTTGTCTGCGCCACCAGTGTCAGGTGCGGATGCAAGGGGTGCAGGCTGCCATGCGCAGGCCTGCTGCAGGGCGCGTAGTCCTGATGCCCAGCAGCCAATTCATCTTTTGCGTAAAGGCGGTGTTTGACGATGGCAGCTTCCAGTGGTCACAGCCCCTCATGGTGGTTACACTTCCAGCCAAGAAGCTGGCCTGAACATGACCTGGGCCTTGAGATGCGTTAGGCGTCAAAGCCAGACGGCGTTCATATGCTGCACCGCCTGCTGCGTGCTTCATCGTGTGGTGCGGTGGCATTCATTGGGTAGCGGGCGTGGGTCGGCAAAGAGTGGAGCTGCTGGTGGTAGAAGATACGAGCTGACATGGAAATTCCTAGGCCACATCTGCCCATGTGCCGCCAGCTCCTTAAAAAATGATTTGGGCTGCCTTGACCTTCTTCTCCACCTGATAACACAACAAGCAAGCAGGGCACAGACTGGTCAGGCTCGGAGACGCGCAGCGCACACCGGGGCGTACACCTTCCCCGCCCTCCCACCCCCACCAGTAGATCAACTGATAAAAATAGAATGCAGCTGCCCCCCTGCTTCTGCGCACCTCTGCATACAACTCCGCAAACTCCTTGGCCTCCTCATCTTTGGCCGCCTCGCCCTTGAGTGCCTTGGGGAGGATGAGCATGCAGCTGGTGGGGCGCTTGGTCAGCCCCGCCTGGCCCAGCTCCTCCTTGGAGGGGACGTAGATGTATGGTAGGTCACGGTCCTCGCACATCACTGGCAGCGGCGTGATGACATCGATGGGGGAAATGTCGCCCGCAATCAGGCAAATGCTGCAGCACGCAGCGAGGCGTGGGGGCAGAATGTTGCAGCATGGAAGGCGGATGGGTCGTTGCAGCTGTGTTGCTACTCAAGAGTTGGGGAGACGCCTCGCCGTGGCTAGTGCTGCCATCCCAGCATCTCTCCAGCAGCAATTGCATGCAGGGTTCCCATGCATGTTTCCTTGTGCATGTCGAGCACGTGAGCACGGAGCGCTGCCGGGTACGCACCCCTTGACCTGCTTGCGGATGGCCTTGATCACCTCCTTAACCCCCCGCTTGATCTGCTTCCGCTTGGCTGCCTTCTTTGCTAGTTTCAGCACCTGCAACAGGCACGAATCACACACACTGGCGCGCAGAGCAACCAAGGCGCGGCCACCGCCAGTGGCGCCGCCAGCAGGTGCCCAGCACGCCCGGCGCCTCCCAGGGCCACAAAGACGCCCATCGGGCCTGTGTGTATGCTGCTTGCTGCCGTCTGCTGGGCTTGCATGCGAGCGGGGAGAAGGATGCATGCCATGGGGGGCAAGGGCAGCCCCACCTTCTTGGTCAGCTTTTCGTCTGCCAGGGGCTTGGCAATGGGTGCCAGTCTCGGTGGTCCTTTCTCTGCTGCTGCTGCTGCTGCTGCCGCTGGCGTCTCTGCCGCCGGCGTCTCTGCTGCTGCTGCCTTCTGCTTCTTCTCTTTATTTTTCTTCTCCTTCTTCTTCTTCTTCTCCTTCTTCTTCTCGGAGCCCATAGCCGCTACCGGCAAGCCAATTGGGCTGTGCACGATTGAGTGTGCTCCTACAGTGCTCCTTGGTGCTGGGGGCGTCACTGGCTGCAATGTAGTGTCCAGTCACCCGGGGCATGCAGGTTTTTGCGATCGCGAGGAACGACGTACGACGGTACTGCCCTCGGCCCACGACCGGCATCTCCAGCCATCCCCAGATAATCATATCACAGCCATCAGATGGTGCGCTTCAGTAATCTTCCCGAGGGCCTCCCGCGCAACCTATAGCTGTGGACGCGGTGGGGGTGGTGACGCGATCGCGTTGCCGCCTCCTCAAAGCACCAGCCAGGCACCTGCGCAATGCCAGCCACGCACCGCAAGGGCCAGGGCGGCTCTCGGCTCGAGGCTCTGACCGAGAGAGCGTGCGCCAAGCCAGTGGACAACTTTGCAAGCATAAAAACGTATTACCGGTCTGCCGACCTGCTGCTGCGCCAGGTGAGGAAGCGGACTTGAGGCCAGCGCCGGCGGGCAGTCGGGCGCCGGCGGGCAGTCTGGTCCTGGGCGCCAGGTGCGCAGCGCTTCACTGAGTGCTGGCCTGGTGGCGCAGGCGGATGTGTACAGGCGTGCCCATAATGAGGACGAGCTGTACGTCATGCTGCTGCGGTTTGCAAGGTGCACCTGCCTGATGGGATCGCTCGACCTGGGGAGTGGCGCATTCCTAGCTTTGCTGCCCTGGCGGCGTTGCGTGCCCCAGTCGCGCACTGGCTCACGTCCATTTGCCTGGCGGTGGTTCCTGCAGCCTGGTGGTGGAAACGCTGCCACGGCACCGTGCCTTTGCCCAGAACGACTCCAAGTACTTGCAGCTGAAGAAGGTGGGTGAGGCATGAATGAGCGCTGGGTAGCGTGCTGTACCGAAGCCAGTGGTGGGATGATGGGCACCCATGCGTCCTCCCAGCAGCTCCTGGCCTCTGCACGCCGCATGCCGCTGCATCACCACCATACCTCAAGCGCGTGGACTGCCTGCGCAAGTGCTTGCATTGCGCATGCGCTGCAGGCGCTGCTGGATGTGTACATGCCGGAGGCTGAGCACCTCAAGGCAAACGTGACGCTGCGGGATGCTTTGCACGCGCTGGAACGGGACGGGCCCTTCCAGCCCACCAAGCAGGCCGGCACGGTGCTGCTGAGTGCTGGCAACCTGCCAGAGATACACTGGGATGATGTGCCGTCAGCGCCGCCCCCGCCGGTGGCTGCGGGTGCGGCGCTAGGGGTGCCGCAGCCAGAGGGCTTTGATCTGCTGAGTAACTTTGGCGTTGCTGCGCCCGCAGCCGCCGTCAGCTTGCAGCGGCCGGCGATGTCCAGCGCGCCGCGCATGCCGGCGCTTCCCGAGCTCAACACCAGCATTCGGCTTCCAGTCGCCAGCCAGGCGACACTAGCCAAGCATGCACTGCTGCCCTCTAGCTCCTACGCCGCCTCGCCTCCGCAGCATGTGCCGCAGGCAGTGCAGACAGCAGCCATGCCACAGCGCCCACTGTACCCGGATCTAGCAGAGCTTCTGGAGCCTCCCCCGCCGCCGGCCCAGCAGCAGCCGGGAATAGATACAGCGCTAGCCGGTCTGGACATCAGCAGGCAGCAGCAGGCGGAAGGCCTACATCCGCCGCCAATGCAGCAGCAGCAGCAGCAGCAGCAGCCCTTCCTGCAGCCCAGCCCATATGGGGAGCTGCAGCTGGGCCCGCAAGAGGTGGGGGTGATCTCGGCGCCACGGCCCTCACAGCCGCTGCCACCAGACGCCACATGTTGCCAGCCGCCGCCACCGCCTTCGCAGCAGCAGATGGTGCCTGTCCCGCCGCGGCTGCAGTCCAATGGGGGGGTATCGGAGGTGAAGCGGCTGCAGCAGATGCGGGATGTGCATGTGTCGGTGGCGCTGATGGATGAGTTCATGCGGTGAGCGGGGTGCATCCAGCATGCGGCCGCAGCACAGCACAACGCAACGCTTGCTGTTGATGGAGGAAGCAGCCCAGGCCATGCCGCTTTCTGTGCCTGGGGAGCGGGAGGCGCTCGACGGCACAGCGTGTCCCTGCAGGTATGCGGTGAGCAACACGCGGCGGGGCATTGAGAGCTGCGGCATCCTGGCGGGCACGCTGTCCGCCGATGATGCCGTGTTCAACATTACCACACTCATCGTCCCCAAGCAGACCGGCACCACGGACACGGTGGGCCTGGCAGCATCGCCGCCATGTCGGCCTGTGCCGAGTGATACCCAGCGAGGCTTGTTGACTCTTTTGCGACAGGCCAGCTGTGTCGACCGCTGTACTGCGCCGCAACATCTTGTTTCCTCTCCTGGCCTGCCACGCAGGTGGAGATGCTGAACGAGGAGGAAATTTTCGAGGTGCAGGACAGCCGCGCGCTGTACCCGTTGGGCTGGATCCACACCCACCCCACCCAGACCTGCTTCCTCTCCTCTGTGGACGTCCACACGCATTGCGGCTTCCAGGTGGCGCCCCGCCCCCATGTGCTGCAGCATGCTGAGCCATGGGCCCATGTGCGCGCTCCTGCCCGCAGCACGCGCATCAACCCGGTCGCGCCCCCCGCCCCCCCTTCCCCGCCCCACGTGCCAAGCGCAGACCATGCTGGATGAGGCAGTGGCGATTGTGATGGCGCCCAAGGACCCCAGCAAGCGGGTGGGCATCTTCCGGCTCTCCACCCCCGGCGGCCTCAAGCTGGTGCAGCGCTGCCCGCAGCGTGGCTTCCACGCCCACCCGCCCACCGAGACGGGGCAGCCCATCTACGAGCTGTGCGGCCACGTGTACCTCAACCCACGGGCCAAGTATGAAGTGGTCGACCTGCGGTGAGGCAAGCCTGGACCCTTGCTGCCAGAACAGATTTAGGAGCACGCTTCTCCCTGTATCTTCTTGTATCATTACGTCACGATCGGTCATTCAAGTCGTTGCACACAGTGTAATCAGACAGAATGGAAGAACAGTGGATGTATTCAGCTGTCTGCGCGGTCGGCTGCCGCGGTCTCACTGCTGCTGCTGGCGGGCCGCGATGATGCTGTCCACCACTCCCTTGCTCTCTTTGGCAAAGTACCGGGCCTGTATGAAGTAGCGCTGCGCATCGCCCGCGCGGCCCTGGTCCTGCAGCAGGAGCCCCTTTGCTAAGTAAGCCCGGAAGTCCTCGGGGCGCGACTGCGGGGTGGGCAGGGGAGCGAGCACGGAGGTTGGCATGGCACAGAGCGGCAGTGGGTGCCACGGCAGCGGTCAGGAGGCGGCACAGAGCTGCAGGATGGGTGGGGCAGTCTGCCCACGCAGCGCTGCCGCCGCCAGACCCGGCCTGGCACGCCCACCTCGATCAGCCCGTCGTAGATGGCCACCGCATCCGGCACGTGCCCCCGCCACTGCGCATACGTCCGAGCCGCCAGCAGCTGCAGCTCGGCGTCGCCGACGCCGCTGCCGCCCTGCGCCGCCTTGATGGCGTTAATGGCGCTGGCCTCCTTGCCGTCCGCAACCAGCACGGCTGCAGGCAGCCAGGTCAAGCGCCCAGGCGCTTTCAGTCCCCTCTTTCAGGTGCCACGCACACCTCCTGGCTGCCAGCGGGGCAACCCCCTCGTCCAACACTGTCAACGCAATTGACACCAGCAGCCATGGCCCCGTGTGCCTGCTGTACCCACCTGCCAGCCCTTGCAGCACCTCCAGGCTGCTGTGGCCGCCTGCCTCCAAGGCTTTGCGGTAGCTGCCGGCCGCAGATCCCCACTTCTCCTGCGCCGCCTGCGCCTCTGCCAGCACCCGCAGCACCTCGGCATCGCCCGGCTTGGCCTCTGCCAGCCGCACCAGCTGTGCCTCGGCCTCGCCAAACTTGCCCAGGCGGGCGCTCAGCACCGCCGCCGACTCCAGGGCCTCCAGGTCGCTGCCATCCTTGCCCGCCTGCTCCTGGAACTTGGCCAGCTCCTGCTCCAGCTCCTGGCGCGTCTCCTCGCTCAGCTGCTGCTGCGCCGCGGCCTGCTGCTGCCGTGGGGCGGGGGCGACGTCGGGGCCGCCACTGGTGATCAGGAAAATGGCACCTAGCAGGACCGCAGCGACTGCCAGGCCCGCCTGCGCAGGCATCCAGCTTGAGGGCAATCAGCAAACGCGGAGCAGCGATCCAATGATAGGTTTGATTCAGTCTCTCCGATACCCAGCTCCCAGACCCCGACCCTGCATCTTCCTACCCAGTCCGCGCCCACCTGGCTGGGCCCAAACTGTGCACCCTCATACTCCTTGGCAGCGCCGCTGTCGTCGCGCGACAGCAGCGTCTTGGCCAGAGGCTGCACATTGGCGTAGATGTCCTCGTCCTGTTGGCGCCCAGCATCCAGGATGCCGCCACCGGCCGCTGCTTGCTGCTTCTGTTGCCGCAGCGCCACCGACTCTGCCTGCAGCGCCTTGAGCCGCTGCTCAAACTCAATCTGATCCACCAAGTTCTCGGTCTTGGCCTCGGAGCCCTCCTGCAGCACGTTGAAGCCCGGCTGTGCCGAGGCTCCGCTGCCCGCATACTGCTGCGCCTGCTGCGCCTGCGGCCCCTGGCGCATCGAGCGCTTGCCCTTGAACTTCACTGCCTTGACCCGCTCCTCGCGCTGGCCGGGCACTGGTGGCCCGTCCTGCAGGCGGTGGTGACCACATGGCAAGCGAGGGATGAATGTGCCACGCACATCTGAAGCGCTCTGCTGAAGTGCCCGCGCCTGCCACTGCCAGCGCCGTGCGGCGTTGCCCGACAGTGCCCAGCGAGGGCTCACATTGCTGTGTCCTGCGCTGGAAATTGATTGCTGTGACGTACCTCTACCGTTTTCTTCGGCTGCTGCCTGCCAAAGCCTTTGCCCGCGATGACCCGCAGAATGCAGAGCCTGGAGGGACGGCGCATCTCCCAGCCGGCTGCCAGGCGCTGAGTTCTCTGCAGGACCAGCATAGGGGCAGCCGCTGCCGCCAAGGCCGGCCGGACAGCAGGCTGCAACCTCATGCGCTCCAACGCGTGATTTACAAGCAAAAAAAGGGGTGTAGGAATGCTGTTTGTTGTTAACGGAACGCCCGTTGCAGCCTACAATGTAGACTTATGCTTATCCTCACGGCTGACGGGGCGGCGACGAGGCGCATGGTCGTGCGGGGGCGCGCATCTCGCGCGACCCCTCTCAGACTGCACTCATGGGCAGGAGCGGAGCTACTCATGTATGGAAGCCTATTAGCGGAGATGGATCAAGCTGCATGGCCAAGGACGGAAGCATTGGGGTCAACCAGCTGCCCGCCCACCGAGCCGCCGCTTACATCGCCTGATCTTCAGCGGCCAATGCGGGAACTTGGCATGCCAGTAGGCAACGCCATAGCTGCAGGCAGCAGCAAAAGTCATTTTGCATTCAAAGCCAAGGTAACGCCGCCGCGCAATCACGCATTGCTGCTGGCGGCCGCTGCTCTCGTTGGCTAACTCACTGCTCCAAAGTGCGTTGCGAGTCCTCCATGTTTTTCCCGGCGTAAGAGAGCCGCTGCAGCGCTGGGATAATGCCGCCCTTGTCCTGCACACGAGAATGTGCACCTGCAGGTTTAGTGCTCTCCTCGGAGGGCATCAGCCACACCTGCTGACACAGTGTGCCTGCAGGTCGCCTCCGCCATGCCGGCAGCGCACAGCAGTGAGTCGGCCCTTCACCGCAGCGCCCACCATAGACACCCACCCGGATGATCTTCCTCAGCTCCTCCACCCGCATCTTGGGGCTGACCTGGATCTCAAAGGGACCCCCATGGTGCACGCCATCTGGCCCAACCTCAGCTCCATACTCGTCGTCTGTGTGCTGCAGCAGGGGCAGCAAGGGCACTGGGGCAGGTCAGGCTATGCACAATGTGACCGCATCACACCTTCAGAGGTGGACCTTCAGAGCATGCAAGAATGCAAAGACCATTCACATGCCGCATTGCAGCCCTTTCAGCCTCACCAGGTCGCTGACCACCGTAAGCGTGATGGTGGGCAGGCCCTTGTACCTGTCGCCCGGCGCCACATAACCATGCGGCACCCCGCTCTCGTATGCCGCCCGCCGGTCCGCCTCCGCCTGCTCTGGCGTGGGCTGGTACATAGGCTTCCATTCTGCATTATGCGGTGGAGCCCTGGTTTGACAGAACGAAAGGGGCCGGATGCAGTGTTTCTGTGTAGCAAGCTGCAAGTGCACCAGCCGTCTTCGCCCACGAGGGCTACCCTGGCCCTGCAACGCACCAGACAGCTGCCCGCCATCGGCCTGCATCACCGGCACGTACTTCTCGTCATCATTGTAGAAGGGATAGTTGTTGGGGGGCACTGCCTGGTAGCCAGTGCGTCCGCTGCCTGCACGGGGTGGCGGGGCAGCGGCAGCTTGTTGCGGATCGTTCTGCCGCGCGCTTTGTCTCCCAGCTGCTTTTGATCACCTGGCGCGGGGTTGTACTTGGTGACGGCATCGCCCAAGCCGCTCCCTAGGTCGTAGTTCGCTTGGAGTCCAGCCAACTCCCTCTCGTCCCAGTGCACGGGGCTGGTGATCGAGGCCATGTCTGCTCTCAGCAATGCGCGGGAGATGAAAGTGAGATTCCGCTGCCAAGGCGCGTGCCCAGACGAGCCGGTCAACCTGAGGTACTACTGTAGTACATGCACTGACTTGCGTGTTCCCCATCGCATCATTGCTCGCTGTCCTTCCCCAGGTGCCATGTCGAGGGGACTGACTGAGAGAATGGGTGCTGCGACAGGGCGACCGTTCTCTGCCCTGAGATGTCTCCGTCGCGAGCAGCTTGCGCCGCTGTCGTTTCGTGCACGGGCCTTTCTCGCGGCCAATCGAAGCATCACATTGGACATCACCTTGAATGGGTGTTGGCACAATCATACGACTTCCCAGCCACACACAATTGCTGGCTTGTTGTCCCGAGCGGCAGCGCTGCCGCCAGCGAGGCGTGCCGCTAGGTCTCTTTGAAACAACTTATTCGCCTCAGTGGCAACCACCAGCTCCCTTGACATCTCGAAGGCCTGCCCTTCTGTGTTGTGCTTGTTTCAAGAAACAAGTGCAAGACCTGCCGAGCTGCAGCCACATGGTCGGCTGCCAGAGTGCTTGAGCTGGTGTAGGGGCGGACAGTGATCAGTGGAAGTGCGCTCGATGGCGGCACCTCCCGGCCCTCAGCCGGGCCTCACTTTCACGTCGTTCCTCGAGAAAATGAGGGATCCTGCTGCCGCCGACTTGGTTAGAAACATCAAAAGGTGCGAGCACCTGCAATGCCAACTGCGGCTGGGCAGCGCACGCCCGGCGGTGAGCGCGGTTGGACTTGCCACCTGCCGCCGTGCGCTCAACCCCCAAATTGTTGCTCTGCTTGCAGCTTCATCCGGCAGTTTGAAGAGCGGCCTGCAGGGCACCAAGTAGACCCTGAGGCCGACAGCGCCAAGGTGCAAGCCTTCCTGGCGCAGTCGGAGCAGCTGTTCCGGCAGCACCCCGTGTGGCGCGGCTGCCAGCCCGAGGTGCTGGATCAGGCGGTGGAGGTGAGCGTCCAAGCGTAGGGTTTAAAAGACGGCGGGGAGTTGCTTTTGTCGCTTCCCTTGCCAGTGCCTGAGGGAGGGACGCAAGCCTCTTGTGCTGTGTGCCTCTCCTGTTCTGCCGCCCTCGCCTCGGCGGAGGCCTGCAGCTTCGTTGGCCACCGTCATTGTCGCTGCCGCATTGCCACAAAGATCTGCTGTTTGACGTTCATAGGGCCTGGAGAAGTATGTGATGAGCAAGGTGTGGCGCCAGACCTTTGCGGTGTGGCAGGAGGACCGGGAGCGGGACGAGCGGTACCAGCGCCTGATGCAGGTGCACCTCTACCCTTGCCATGGGCTGCTGCAGCACGAGTTGTTGGACAGCAAAGCGTACCCCCGTGGCCCTGATTGCCATTAGGCCCTGATTGCCATTCTTCTGCGGCTGCTGCAGGCCCTGGACTTTGTGGACCTGCCCACCCTGATGGGTGCCAACGTGGAGCCGGATTCCAACCTGCTGGCGCTGGCACAGGTGCCGGGCAGCGCAGTGCCAGGGTGCCGGCACAGTCTTGGCAAGGCGCAGGGAGGACTGGCAGTAGCATCCCACCTGTACTGCCTTTGCTGGTGCCATCGCAGCTGCCCCCACCTGCTGCTTGCTTGTGGCTGCAGAGCGAGCTGCTGAAGATGGACCGTTACAAGGCGCCACGCGACAAGCTGCTGTGCCTGGTGAATGTGAAGACAATGGTGGAGAACATTGTGCAGCTGGCAGCCAAGGGAGGAGCCAACATCGGCGGTGAGCTGGGGGGCAGCGGCTGGGGGGCCAAACTTGGTGGAGCAAGCGTCTGCGATTGCAGCTCGTCCTTGCTGGATGCCAGCCACCTTTCCAAGCTGGTCCTGCACCCGGCTGCACCCCGCCCCACGCCGTGCCGCCTGCAGGCGCCGACGCCTTCTTCCCCGTCTTCCTGTTTGTGGTGATGCGCTCGCGCCTGCCGCACCTGGCCAGCAACGTGGAGTATGTGAAGCGCTTCCGCAGCCGCGCGCGCCTGTCGGGCCAGTTTGACTACATGCTGTGCAACCTGGTGGGTGTGGGGCCCCGTGCTGGTGGCGGCGGTGGTGGAAGGTTCCTGCCCGCTGCACCTGCCGGCATCACGACCACCTTGTCCGACTGCCCCACCTCCGTCTGTTTCTGCCCACAAGCCTGGTCACCCCTCGTGCTGCCCTCGCCCCGCCCCCCAACCCTCGCGCCTGCGCAGGAGTCTGCCGCCATGTACCTGGACACAGTCAACTACGAGCACCTGGCGGTGAGCCAGGAGACGTTCTTGGCGCACCTGGCGGCGGCGGGCATCCCAGAGGCTCACATGGAGCTGCAGCGCATGCAGCAGCAGCATGAGCAGCAGCAGCAGGCAGCGGCGGACATGGGAGCAGAGTATGGCGGTAGCGGTGATGGGCTGCTGGAGCAGGTGCAGCCAGTGGCGGCGCAAGCTTCTGCTGGGGAGGCGGTAGGCACAGCCGGCGGTGCAGAGACACGAGATTCGGGTGCAGATGATGTTCTGGCTGGCCTACAGCTGATGGATGGTGGTGCGCTGCTGCCAGCAGATGATCGCACCAGCAGTGGAGGCGCAGTGGCTGGGCTGGATCCGGTGCTCGACAGCCGGCCTGTCACTCCTCAGGACCCCACACAGCTTGCCAGCAGCGGTGGCGAAGCTGCAGATGGCGGCCGTGCATCATCACTGACGCCACTAGCTGAGCCTGCCGCGCCATCACCAGTGCTGTTGGAACCGGCAGGGGTGGCTGGCGCTGGGGGCGGTGGCGCTGACATCGGCACCGCCGAACCTCGGGAGCTGTCCTTTGTGGACACGGCGCTCCAACAAGCTTTGGTAGCAGCGCAGGAGCAGGAGCAGGGCGCAGCTCAGCAGTATGCGGAGGCGGGCCTCGTTGAGGAGATGGTGGCAGAGGGCACGCGGCATGTGCTGGCGGCCGAAGCGGCGGGCCAGCTGCAGCAGCGCTACCCATACATGTATGCTCAGGCGGAGGACCTGTCGCTGGTGCGCGGGTTGGGGTGGGGGATGCGGGGGGGCTTGTTCTGGCCCCCTGAGAATCGCAGCACGGGCTACCTGCATGCCCAATGCCCAATGCATGGGCATTTCAACCAAGGGTATCAGAGCTGCTTGTTTGCTGGCGTGGCGCTGTTCCCTGCAGGCGGACGTGCAGGCGTTACTAGTGGGGTACAAGGAGCTCCTGCTGCGGTACGAGGCGCTGTCCCGCGCCTTCCAGCAGCAGCTGGGCCTGGCAGGCAGCGCAGATAGCACGGCGGCGCTAGCTGGCAGCGGCACTGCGCACCGCTCCAAGCTTGAGCAGCAGCAGTACGGGTTTGGCAGCCTGGTTCTGCCTGAGGCAGATGGCGGCGGTAGCTTAGGGCAGGGCGGATACGCACACAGCGCCCCGCTGGCAGTTCCCTCCAGAGGGGCGTCGGCTGCGAGCCCGCAGGATGCCTCACCCTCCGGCAAGTGGTCCCCCGGTGGCATCCTGCACCGCATCACCAGCAGCAGGACCCGCCGCACGCTGACGCCCCCAAAGGACAGCGATGGCAGCAGGGGCGCAGAGGATAGCACGCCGCTGGGGCAGGCTGGCCGGTTGCGAAGCCTTGCCCGTCTCAGCCCAAGCAAGCAGCCAGGGCAGCACGCTTTCTTCTCCGCCTTGTTTCCTAACAGCACTGGCAGCAGCCCAAAGGTCGTGTCGGCTGTGCAGCAACAGCAGCAACATACACCTGAGCAGACACCTGAGCAGCCATCCTTTGCGCCCCCGCAGCAGGCTCTAGCAGAACTCTCAGCACATGGCAACAGTGGCGATGCTGCTGCTCTTGCGCCCACTGTCGCGCTGCAACGGCAGCCTGCAGCAGGCAGCACTGAAGCCAGCGCCGAGGTGACTGTTGCAGAACAGACATCTCAGCCTTGTCCTGCCGCTGCACCGCAGCCAGCAGGAGGTGGCGCAGCCACAGCTGGCAGCCTGCTGGACCTGCTAGATCAGCCGCCTCCCCCTGTGGATGTGGCAGCAGGCACCTTGATTCACCTGGAATCAACATCAGCGGGCGGGGAGGCCGCTGGCACCCCTGCAGCAGGCGACCTCCGCCAGCTGACCTCTGTGGAGAGCGAGGCGGCGGCGGACGCGGCACAGCCGCCATGTGACACACGCCCTTCTGGAATGCAACCTGTAGCCGCGCATGGGCAGCAGCTGGAGCCTGCTGGCGAGCAAAAATCAGGCAACCAGCCGCCTGAGTCGCTCATTTAGTCATGTGCGGCCTGTCCTGCTCCCACAATCTGCCCTTCACAGCAAACGCGCCGCATTCCTAGCATGCATGGGCCATACATTCAACCCTTTGTCAAAACTGTCAACCAGAAAAGATGTTCGTTCAACCATGCGTTGGCTTGTGGCTGTTGAACCACACAACGGACACCTGCAAGCAGGAACCAGCAGGAAGTCAAGTCAGGGTGCATGGGCAGGGCGACGAGGACAGAGCAGGCCTTCCACACGCTCCCTCACTCGGTCTTACCGGGTCACCCAGGTTGTGCTCAGCCGCCCACTTGCGGACTTTGAAGTGCGCGCGCTTGGCCATGTCGCCGCCAGAGGGGTCGGCAACCTTGCACAACGATTTGGCATGTGCAACGCACCACAGCATTTGGAGCGGCACCCGCAGCTGTTGCGAGCGTACAAGCATGCCGCCCTTTCCGCCCCTACCTCCCCCGGAGGGCGACACAAGCACTGCTCACCAACCTGCAGAGGCTCCTGGTTGGGCTGCTGATACAGCAGGAAGATGTAGCGATGCGTCCCGATGGGCGGCGCCGGTCCCCTCCAGCTGGTGATCTGTGCAGGCAGCAGATGCACGGTTTGGTGGGTGAGGGCATGCAGGAAGACAACTGGTGGGGGCCTGGCCGACAGCAAGCAAAGAGGCACGGCATGCCTGCGTCCACCCACCTCGTTGCCCTCGCTGGCGTCGCCAGCCGCGGGGATGTTGGTCACGATCCAGTGCAGCCACTCGCCGCGCACAGGGTGCGCTGGGTCAGGCGCATCCGGGTCAGGGCAGACGAGCGTGTACAGTGCCCCCTCGCTGCCGCCCTTGATGCGCGCCGTGGGCGTGGCGGCGGCGTCCGCAGGCGAGATGAGCACGCCGTTTTCCACCCGCTTGCCGCCAAACGACACCTCGAGCTCAGCGCAGCTGGCCGCAGAGACGCGGTCGATGACTCCAGGGATGATGCCAGACTCCTCCAAGGCGCCCCTGCACAGCACATTCACATGATGAGCAGCGCACACGAACAAGGACAGCAGACATGATGATGAGTAGCACAGAAGAAAACGAAGGGCGGAGCGGTGCGGAGGGCCGGTGGCAGGGCGGGCGGGGCGGCAGGGCGGCAGGGCGGGCCTCGGTTTGCAGGTCAGCAGCGCACATGATGGCCGTGGCCTCCTGCGCCAACGATGTGCTCAGGGTTGGGGGGAAGAAGAGACCTCTCTAGCCAATTGCTCGTCACTGCGGTGGCCGGCCTTGGAGGGGCTGCACTACGCTGCACTACTTCTGCCGTCAATGTGGACCGATTTTGCGGCTTTGCCATGAGAGCAAGGTGAACATGCCAGCTGGGCGCCGGCGCCAGGTGGCCTCCGGCGGCCCCCCTCTAAAAGTGCGAGTAGGGAATGTCTACTCGGACAAAAGCGTGCCGAGGCCGCTTGTCACACACGCGGGAAGGAGGCCAGCAGGCACTCAGCGCCTCCCAGGCCCCTCCTATTGCAACCCGCCTTGCAACCCGCCGCAGGCGTGCCCGGCCTCGCCCCTGCCACCGCAGCCCGGCTACTGGCACACTCGGGGTCGTGAGCTGCTGTGTGCCAAGCCCTGGCAGCGATGCTTACAACAAACTGCGCATCAAGGTGGGGCGCACATAGCAGTAGAACCTCAAGTGTACATAGGATTCATGATACATAAGGGCTTTAGACTTCCCTTCCTGCTACTCAAACCGCACAATGACCTGGTCCGCAGCCACGACTGCCCCCGCATCTGCCTCCACACTTTTCACCACCCCATCCACATTTGCCTTCAGAACATTTTGCATCTTCATCGCCTCCACCACCGCGACCTGCACACAACAGCATTGCGCCGAACGTCAATCACTGTTGAAAGTAGGCGTCATGTGGCTGGCCTGGCTGGCTCACCTCATCCCCTTGGTTCACTAACTGCCCTGGCTGCACAGCCACGCTGATCAGGGTGCCAGGCATCGGCGATTGGATGGCCTGCATCCCATAGATAGATGCACCTTTGTTAGAAAATGATGGGCGGCAGGGGCAATTCAAGCCTGGGGGGACACAGCCTCCCTGGCTAACAGCAACAAACAGGAGAGTCCTCCCCTTTCTGCCCGCATGTGAACACTACCTTGCTGAAGTCCTCGGCGTGCTGCACCGGCATGTGGCATCCCAGGCGCGCCGACAGCGGGCTGTCCACTTGTATCACCCGCTGTGCGCCGCAGTGCTGTAGCTTGTACTGCCGTGGCCCCATCTGCAGCACCTGCAGAAACACCGCCTGCCCATCCACCTCTGCCTGCACAAGCTGCGCGTCGCTGCTGCCCGTGTCTCGCACATACATGATGCGGTGTGGCAGCTGCACCTCCAGCGCCTGCCCGCTGCCATGCTCAGCACCGTTGATGCCGCTGGTGGCGACCATTCGCGACTCGGCTGGACGAACAACCACCGCAGTCTGCTGTCCACTCAGCGTCAGCACCAGCTCCATGTCCCCCTGCGCCCACATATGCAGCTTGCAGGGATATTCAGTGCGCGGGCTTCCGCAACAGTTGCCAGCACCACCTACTCAGGAAGGTGGTTTGTTCATCCACCCTTGCAGCCTGCAACCTGCCCTCTCCGCGTCACCAACCCGCTCACCCACCTGCAGCTTGCCGCCGCCACTCAGCCGTTGTTCCTTGCCCACCCACAGCAGGGCGGCCACTGCCAGGAGCTGGTCCTGTTGGCCGGCACCCAACGGGAGCCGTTCAGGCGCGGACGCCTCGGGCGTCGCGTAGTTTTCCGCCAAAAAGGCAGTGCTCAGGTTGCCCGCCACAAAGCTCGGCACGTCGAGCACAGAGCGCAGGAGGGGCGCGTTGTGCTGCACGCCCCGGATGACGTAGGAGTCAAGCGCACGCCGCATGCCCGCCAGCGCTGCGCCACGGTCCACGCCATGCACCACCAGCTTGGAGATCTGCAAGGCAGGCCATGGGATGGGGACTGAGGGGAGCGGCAGTGCCAGTGCAGTGCCAACAACAACATGTGAGCTGGCACCTGCCACACTGCACATGAGGCCGAGTAAATTGGTGATCAGCCACCACACGCAGTGGAGCCGCTGCTCTTATAGCCCGCCCACACACCAGTGGATCGTAAAAAATGCTGATCTCGCTGCCCTCTTGGACACCGCTGTCGCATCGGATGCCCGGGCCCCGTGGCTCACGATACCGCAGCAAACGGCCGATGGATGGCAGGAAGCCTGCAGGATAGCCCCAGCCAGAACAGGGTGCAGCAAATCAGCATCCAACACTGGCTGCGTGCAATGGCCCACATTTGCTGCATGTGACAATGTTCAACTAGACGCAGCAGCCCATGGAGCAGCACACAAGCTCCCACCGCACATGTCGCCCACCCCCCTGGAGGGTGTGCTCGCTTCAGGCCGGGTCCCAGCTCACCTCGGGCCGGATTCTCGCTATACACACGACACTCCATGGCCGAACCAGAGTAGTGCAGCACCTGGTCCTGGCTGACCGTCAGCGGCTGACCTGCTGCCACGCGCAGCATGTGCTCCACCAGGTCCTGGCCAGTGATGGCCTCCGTGATGGGGTGCTCCACCTGGGTGATGTGCCGATTGGGGCAGTGTGTGCATATGTGATGGGAGTGCTGGTGAGAAGCAGTGTGCAACAACCGCAGCAGCAATTACCTGAAGCCTTGTGTTCATCTCCAAGAAGTGGAATTCACGCTGCGGGTTGGCCAGAAATTCGACAGTGCTGCGTGGCAGGCGGGGGAGAGGGCAACGGGGCTGAGCCAGGGCCCGTGAAAGTCCCCCACAGCATCGACCCAGCATGCAATCGCAGCCAACAGCTTCAGCCACCTTACCCGGCCGAGTGGTAACCCACCGCCTGTACAGCAACAAGGAGGGCAGGGACAGCCAAGTTGCCAGTTTGTTTTGCAGGAGGAAAGCAAGCACACCAGACACATTACGACGCGCCACCCAACCAACGGGCATACCTTGCACAGCGCAACTGCCTGCTCCCCCATTGCTCGCCGCATGGCGGGGGTGACCAACGGCGAGGGCGCCTCCTCGATCACCTGCAGGATGTTAGGCAAGCAGGTCGGCATGCCAACTTGGCAAATCAGCTGAAACAAATGCCAACGATATGCGCACCCACACCTTTTGGTTGCGGCGCTGGATGGAGCACTCTCGTTCTGGGAAATAGATGACATTGCCCCACTTGTCACCCAGCACCTGGATCTCCACGTGCCGTGGCTGCTCAATGAACTGCAAGCACACATGATGCCGCGGGTGCAACAAACGCAGCATCGTCTCCCTCTCGACCTTCGTCTCCCCACCATCCCACCCACCCACCTTCTCTATGAGCATACGTGCGTCGCCAAACGCAGAGGCAGCCTCCTGCGGCACCATTCAGGGCAGTGCCCACTCAGCGCTTCTCAACTCTGCTGATTGCATGCCTGCCACACCAACAACCACCATGCTAGCTCATGGCGTACACCCACCTGCGTGCACAGCTCATACCCCTCCAGCAGCTCTTTCTCATTCCATGCAACACGCATGCCCTGCACCAGCACACGCCGGCGTGCTGGGTGAGCGGGTGGGTATGCATTGCCTGAGCAAGCACCCGCCCGCCCAGCCCCAAATCCAGCACGTAAGGGCATCGGCCTCGATTGATCAGTGGTCCCAGGCAGAACACCAATGCTGTGTGCTCCTGCAACTCCCGCTCAAGCTCCCGCCGGCCAGCCGACTTGCCTTGCCTCCGCCGCCCGCCGAGGCTTTGATCATGACTGGGAAGCCGATTTCGCGGGCCACCGAAATTGCATGATCTGCATTCTCCGTCACTCCCGCCCATCCCGGGATTGTGTTGACCTGCGAGAGTGGGTGAGTGGGGATGAGTGAGGGCAAGATGGAACCCCACTATACTCCCCCTCAAACAACCCACGCAGCTGGTCACACACACCACATCGTCCCCTTTGCTCACCCACCTTCGCGGCCGCCGCAATCTTCTTGCTCTCCACCTTGTCGCCCATCTTTTCCACTGCGTGAGTTGGAGGCCCCACAAAGGTGGCCCCCGCTGCCTCGACCGCCTCCACAAAATGCGAGTTCTCGGAAAGAAAGCCTGCAACAAGCCGGCAGGAGGAGTATGGCAAAAACACAACTCAGTTGTTGCCACAATCTGGGAGCCAAAATGCCATGTAAAGAGCTGAATGCACCCTTAGGGAGGAAAACAACACACCACCAAAAAACAACGCTAGAATCATAGAAGCTAAGCTAAAGCTAGGGGCCCACCATATCCAGGATGCACGGCATCAGCGCCGGTCTGCTTGATGGCATCCACAATGGCTGGTATGTTGAGGTAGCTAGCGGTGGAAGCAGCAGGACCCTGCAAGGGCACGGGTTGGGAGCACAAGATCAACTGCACACAGACGGGTGCAGTGCGAAGCCAGCCGTAGCCAGCGATGTATGTGTTGCTGGCAACTTCCATTTCAGCTTGCTGGCTCCCCTGACCGCGCCCAGCCACCCACTCTCACCACGCAAATAGCCTCGTCCGCAAAACGGGCATGCACCTGCATGTGTCATCACAGAAAAATCGAGCGAGCGTTTTGGTGGTTGGCGGGTGAGTGGTGGCTGGGCAGATCGGGAGCCAGGACCAAACCCCTGGTCCCAGGCACGGCACAGAACCATATCCAGGAACCGGCTGGCAAATGAGCCATGCCACCACTGCTGGAAGGCAGCCTCAGTAAGTGGCCCAACCAACGCATTCGCACACCCCCCGCACCGCGGCGGTGTCGGCCTCGCTGTAGATCCCCACGGTGGCGATCCCCAGCTGCTTGGCGGTGCGCATGACACGCACAGCGATCTCCCCGCGGTTGGCGACCAGCAGCTTGCGGAACAACTGCTTGCCATCCCCCTTTGCTTCGGCAGACAATAAGGAGGCGGTGGCCGCGGCGGCGGTAACGTGTCGGCAGCCGCCCTGCCCTGCTGCCAGGCGCAGCAGGCCACCTGCCACCGACTGCACAGCCTGCATTGCGACGCTCGGGGCAGGCTGAAGCGGGTCTCGAAAATTTGTGTAAAGGGTGTCGGCGGGCCGCACACAGGCTCCCGCCAATCCGCTGGCTGCCCAGGAGGGCTGAATTGATAGCTGTGCGTTGAGGCGATAGTTAATGGTGGCCGGTGACCTGTCTTCGAATCGCTCCCCCGCATGAAATTGCCGAAGTCATGGCTGCCCTGCATTCTTGCAACGCTGCTGCACTCCAACGCGCGTCAGCTACCCGACTTGCACTCCACCTTGTTGGCCCGCGTGCAATCATGCGTGCTCTGCTGCTGGCCACGCTTGGCCTGCCAGCAACGCAGAGGGGCGGCCGGCAGGGCATGGGAGGCGCCCCGGCGCCTGGCAAGTTGGCGCCCCGGCGCCAGGCACGTTTCTCTGTCGCCGCCGCCGCTCAAACCGGAGGGCCGGTTGGGGCGCGCGAGGAGGAGGGCACTGGCCGCGACTTCGCTTCTTCATTGGCGCTGATGACACTTGGCGTGAGTCCTTGTGCCCTTGTCGTCCTGCTTCATCGCTAGGGCAGGTGTTGGCTTGGCTGCGGCAAGGCATTAAGGCCCCGGCCCCCCTGCCCCACCCCTTGCTGCAGGCTTCCTGTCTCAGCGAACGTTTGAACGGCCATGGTCTGCTGCAGCAGCTGGAACTGGATAATCACCCGCTACTTTCAGTGGTGGTTGCCGCGCTGGCAGCCGCCACCTTCTGGCCGTCCAAGCGGCCGCTCAAGTCTGCGACGGACACAGTGCGCGACTTGGCTGGGCGGGCAGCTTTCGCTGGCCTGTCTGCGGCAGTGGGCGCAGAATTGTGGGCGGGCAAGGGCCTCCTGAGCTTGTTGGAGATTGAAACGGGCGTCGGCGTGATCAGCGAGGTGGAGGCTGTGCTGGCGGGGCTGCTGCTGCTCGTGCTGACTGGGCCCCGGGCAAAGCATGCCTGAGGGGACCTGTGAGACCTGTGCCTCGCATCTTCCACCTGCTTTACTACACTCTGTTGCTTTTACTACACTCTGTTGCCGATGTGCCTGAATGAATGAATAGTGACCGTCATCAACAGAATGACGTTTGGGTGATTGCTGCCCACTTTTTGTCTGCCAGTGTTGGTCTTGCTCTGCCAGCAATTTTCACCAACCCCAATGGGATTGGCGTTGTTTTTGTTTCTTTTGCGTGCAAAATGCGCCATAGCCCCCCCCCCCCCCACCACCACCACCAACTACAGTCTTCTGTTTCAATTGTGAGTGGCAATACAATGTGTGAATATGCGCACAATAGCAGCAGATGTGAGCTGGGGAAACGCGGAGGAGATAAAGAATTGAGATGAAAGGGGCCCACGGTGAAGCAGCAGAAGAAGGAATTGGAGCTGAGCACCAGCAACACCACCTGCCGCGAGCTGTTCAATGGCCATGCTACCACTCTTCAAAACGCTGCAGCGTGGCCTGTGCCTCACCCAGCTCCTTCTGCACCTTCATGCGGCGGTAGAAGATGGGGCAGTCGCGCGATCGGCACAGCACGTCCTGGTGTAGGCTGCCCTGGCATCGCTGACACTGCGTCCACAGCGCGCTAAACTGCGCCTCCAGGTCGTTCACCCCAAGCACTGTGCGCTGGTAGACCTCGCCCTCCTGCACTCGTCATCAAGCAGGAGTGAATGGCGTGGGAGCAGCTGGCCTCAGGAGGGCATCTGGCCATCCACTTGGCACAGGCACTCACCTTGTCCTTGCAGTGCTTGCATACCGTCTGCTCGCTCTTGCCCAGCGGCGCGCGGCAGCCCAGGCACGTGAGCCGCTTCTGTGCAAACTTCATGATGCCGCCCGAGGCCACCGATGGCGTGGTAACCATGATGGATCGGGTGTGAGCACCTGCGCCAGTGAAGAAGAGGGGGTGGGGGTGGTGGGTGGGGTAGGACGTGCCGAGAGTCAGCGCTGGAGTAGTCGCGCAAGCCTAATGCCTGCCCCCAGCCCCACAATGCCACCCTATGCTACCCCACGCTGCCAGCGAGGCAAGGGATGCTCAGGCAGGCCGCACCCACCCGTCAGCAGCTCCTTTGGGTTCTTCATGATGGGCTCGAACAGGCGCATGAGTGGCTGCGCCAGGTGGTGGTCCAGGTAGTGCTGGCAGTCGATGGGCAGGTTGTTCCTCAGCGCATAGATGGGGTCCTCCGCCTTCTCATATGCCTTGGCCCCCTTGGCAGCCTTGACTATGACGTACGGCACACGGTCGCCCACTGCTGGCGCCGTGGCCAGGTCACGCTTCTTCATCTTCTTGGCCAGCTCCACGTGCGCCGCCTTGTTCTCGTAATCATCTGCATCCTGGGTGAGGCCCTGCAGCGGGAATAGTTGGCACGCGGTTAGGGGCTGGACAAGCGGTGGGCGCGAGAGCACCAAGGGTGGCGATGATATGCATGGTGAAAACTCGGCCAAGCAAGGGCAGGGTGCCACACCTTTGAGATCACCAGCAACGACAGGTCCAACTTGTTCATTAGCAGGTCTGAGATGACGCCCTTGACGTAATCGCACGCTTCGCCAGGCGCTCGCTCCACCAGGATCTTCTCCAGGCAGGTTGTCACCACATTGCGCACCTGGCAGCATGAGCGGCGCGAGCACCAAGTCGTTGAGCCAGCAGGCAGGAGTTTAGAGTACAGGCAGAAAATCTGTTTCACCGCAGCGCAGGCAACTTCAACTCAGTCACTCATGCATGGCCGGCTGCGTACCAATGGTGGGGCAGCCTGCGCAAACCTGCCATGACAGCCGACCACCCCACTCTCCACCCCACTCACCAGCAGGCAGTTGTCGCGTCGCACCGTCTCGATGCCTTTGGTGTCAATCTTATCCCACTTCTCTGGTTTCGTCCACAGCAGACCCGCATACCGCTTCTTGCTGATTAGCAGGTAGGGATTGTATACCTGCATGCAGCCCGCGGCGGCGGTTGAAGGCCGTCCAGCACGGCAGCCAGGCGGCGTGTCAGCTGCTGCACAGCAACCGCCCGCGGCCCACCTTTTCAAACTCAAGCTTGATGGGCTTGATGAAGGCCTTGCTGACCTCCTCTGCCGCCTCCAGCCCCAGCTGCATCGCGGCGGCGGTGTCGTCCACGCCAAAGTACACCATGACCTGCAGCGGCACCGCACAAAAGCCAGACCCTGGGAAGGGGGTGGGCTAAGGAAGCTGGCCGGACGGCCCAGCAGATGAGCAAGCGCAAGATGGTGCCGCCACCCCATCCAACCATGCCCCAGACCGCCGCTGCAGCCCCGCGCACCGAGTCGGTGTCTCCGTAGATGACGTCGGCATCGTGGGTGTAGCCGTTGGCGCGGTTGTACTTCTCCATCACGCGCCGCCTGCAAGGGCAGGCAGCAACAAGCGCAGGTGCTCCAGCATGGGCTCATGAGGCAGCCGGCAGCGAGGAGCAGCTCCATGACAGCTCCCAGTGGGGCCAGATGCTGAAGGGCCCTTACAGATGGCAGCCTCCGCCCCATTTTGCTGCTACAACATGGCCCCAGCTCCGCACCTGGTCTCCATGATCATCTCTCGGCCAAAGGAGGTCACAGAGGAGGAGATCTCCAGGCAGGGCAGGGCACCCACGGTAGCGCCCGTGAAGCCTGCACCCAGAAAGCACGGCAACGGGCACAGCGGGCACGCCAGGGCAAGGTATGAGGCAATCGGCTGCACCTGCATCCCTGCTCCCAATGATGGCGACGGAACAGAGGGCTGCACTGCAGCGCACCATAAACCGAGTTGGCGGAGACCTTGAGCGCCATCTGGCGCCCATTGAACACCGCCCTCAGAAAGGGGTCAGTGGCCTCCCCCATGTCCTTTCTTGCACTGCATGGAGGCAAAGGTGCATACTCGTGTGAGATGCATACATCACACTAGCAAGTAAGGAAATATACAAGCAGTGCATGGACGCAAGGAGCAGGAGCTGCCAGCAACGCTGCCTGGCCAACCCACCGCTTGCGCGCCGCCAGCAGCTCCTGCAGGATCTCAGGCAGCACCCCGGTGGCCAGTGAGGACTTCACAAAGGTGTCGCCATTGGGCGAGATCGTTAGGTGCTCTGCATTCAGGTAGGCGGGGCGTGAGAGTCAGGCCCGACTGATGCAGCTGATGATGCGTAGATGCCACATTGTTTGCTGTTCGTCCCTACGCCACCCGCTGCTCTCCTTTGTGGCGATGACGTTTGCTGGTGTGCTCACTCATGCGTGCCCAGCGGCCCTGCCACCGCAGTTTCTTCACCCTCCCCGCCTGCCAGCAGTTTCCAGTCTGCCACCCCTCTCACCCTTGGGGAACATGTTCTCGTGCCCCTTGGGCACCAGCGTGGTGTAGCAGAGGTTGTGCGCCATCATGATGGAGGGGTACAGGCTGGCAAAGTCCAGCGTGGCCACCGGCTTGTCGTAGTACCCAGCCTTGGGCTCTAGCACCGTGGCACCCTCATATGCCACGCCCTCGTTGGGGTCGCCGCCACGCTGCCAGGGGTGGGGGGTGGGGTGGGAGTGCGCCACGGGAGAGTGTATGGCAGTGGGCGGTGAATGGTGGGATGGGTCCAGCAGAGAAACCTGGCAGCCAGCCAGCCAGCCCGGCGCAACTGCCTCACCCACCTTCATGTTGGGCACCACCAGGTTCTTGGTGCGCGACTTGCGCAGGATCTGGGAGAAGACCTTGATGGATTGGCCCCTGCTGAGCAGGTACGACATGGGAACCCCCGTCACGCGCGCCATCTCCACATAATTGTACATGTACATCAGCTTGTCCACCAGGCGCTGAGGCAGGTACGCGTCCTGCAGCAGGGAGGGAGCAGAGCAGGCGTGCGGCGTGTACGGGCCGGAGCAACAGTCAGGGGCAGGCAGGGGGCGGGGGGGGGGGGAGGGGGGACCTGGCCAGAGAGGCACAGCACGTGCACCTCCAAGCCACTCCGCCCCGCGCACCTTGAGGCAGTAGATGGCGAGGCGGCGGCGCGACTCGGCGTTGCCGTCCTGCAGCTTGCTGATGTCGCTGTGGTGCACATCCTCCTTCTGCTCCCCCAGGAAGTGGGCAGACACCGAGTTGAGGGAGTAGGAGGAGAGCTTGTGGTCGCGCTGGATGGCTTGCAGCAGGTCAAACTGCACCCGGCCCTCAATGCTGATCTCTTTGAAGTCGTGGGTGCCATACGCCTTGCTGGAGAAGCGCGCGTCCTTCATGCGGCACCTCCTGCAAGGCTGGGCCGGGGAAGGTGAGGAGGCACACCAGTGTGGCGCTCACGGCGGCATATCATGCAGGCACCATGCATCCCCTGCCAGCATTAAAACCTCTGCACCTGTTGCGCAGGCGGCCCCAGGTCCAGAACTGCGGGATTTTGAGGGTGTCGGCACGGTTGAGGAGGTAGGGCAGGTCGAAGTTGACGATGTTGTAGCCGATGATGATGTCGGGGTCCGCCTCGAGCACCAGGTCGCGCCAGCGCAGCAGCAGCGCCTTCTCGTCATCAAACGACATCACCTCTGCAGGCAAAACAGGGCCAGCGGCGGGCAGGGGTGTGGCGCCAGCGGGAAAAGGGGCATGCGGGGGCACTTGGGGCCAGGCGGGGGCATGGTGCATGCCACATGCGACTGTACGCCACGCACCTGCGCCGGTGATGGGTGCGCACGACTTGAGCGTCATGATGTTGCGCACGGCGGGCTGCTTCTTCCCAAACTCGGTGACCAGGGAGGCAATCTGGATGACGGGGTCGTGCTCCGGCTCGGGAAAGTGTCCCTGCAGCACATGGCAAGAGGCAGGCAGGCCGAGGGCAGGTGTACATTTTGCACGCCTTGCGTGCGCAGCTGCCGGGGCAGAGGGCAGCCAGCCTGAAAGAACCCCCATCCCCTTCATCCCCGCTCACTTTGCGGCCCTGGCACTCGATGTCCACCGACAGGATGCGGAAGGGCGCCATCTTGGCCCATTCCCCTTCTGGAGCATGGCTGACCAGCTCGCTGTAGTTCAGGTGCGCCTCCAGCTGGCAGTGCGTCTGGTGGCCCTGGGCCAAGCAAGGGCGGAGTGGCAAGGCCGCATCACGGCACCGCAGAAGCTTGCAGGTCGCGCCAGTGCAAGGCTGCGCTGGTGGTGCAGTGCATGCAAGCTGGCACGTTGGCTCCCAACAACACAAACATCCTGCACATGCCCCCACTTGCACTGCCGCTGCCCAGCCCACCTGCGGCGCCACCAGCATGTAGCTCCCCGCCGGCAGCTCCACCCAGTTGCCGCCCACCACGGAGCAGTCGATCATGAAGCGCAGGGCATAGAGCACATTGGATTCGTATGTGGTGCTGCGGTAGTACTTGCCGTTGCCCATCCATTTCAGGCTGATGCCTTCCTCAAACAGCTCTGCGGGCGATCAGGAGCATGCAATTGTGTGGGGCGTCATGCCGGCAGCGCTCGGCAGGATACGCGCTAGGCAGGACACACGCCCAGTGCAAAGCTGGGCCGCCCTCTGTAGTTTGCATCTGCCCAACAACTATCGTTGCTCCACTGCCCATCAATGTCGCCCCCCGTCCTTTTCTTCTGTCTACCCTGCAGCTCGCTCACTCTTGCAGGTTGTGACCAGGGTAGGGACGGAGAGCACAATCTTGAGGAAGAGGCGTGAGGGCTGCGGCTGGTAGTACATCATTGTCTGCTTCCGTGCCAGCTCCACTCGCAGGCACTGCCGAGGGTTGCGGCTCTTGTCCCGCCCCGCCAGCAGCGCCTGCACGCCAGCGGGCGTAGCGGGAGTCGAGCAGCATGTCCGACCAGCTGGAAAGAGCTGTCACTTCGGCTGCCACCACCCATGCTTTCCAGCACATGGGTGCCAATCCCATACACTCACGTTGAGCTCTGCGGCCAGCGCCTGGCAGTCGTCAGGGGAGAAGGCTGCTGAGGGGGCATCCACATAGAAGTAGGGCTCGAAGCCGTGCACAAAGGCGGCCACCGAGTTGCCGGCCTCGGTGACGCCAAACATCCGCACCACGGGCACCTCCTTGAGGTCGGTGGGGTAGTACACTGGATGGGGCGCCCCAAATGTGTAGTCCACCTCCAGCTGCTGGAAAACTGCGGGACGGACCGCAGGGGCGGGGAGGAGGAGGGCAGGCACAGCAGGTCAGCGCATGAGCGGGACCTGTGCCGTGGCTGCTGCCCTGCCTGTCCTGCCCGTACCCAGCATGTGCGCACTGGTGGGGGGGTGGGCCGTCGCTGCAACGTACCAAGGCTGTCCGTTGCGGGGTTGAGCTGTGGTGCGGCTGGCCTCGGCCAGTTTTTGCCAGCTCGCCGAGGCTGCCCTCGTCTACCTGCATCACAATCCAGTTAAGGAGAGGCGG